CATGCATTCTGGTATCCCAGTGGAAAGCTGTAATGAACTTTTATTAATTTTAATTGATGGTTATGAACTGCCTTAAATGTCTCAAGTTGTGTAAATCAAACTATTTTTTGTACAAGTCAATCAAGTCCAAATCATGTTTGGATGGGAAGACAAAAGACTATATGACTAAAACATAAGAAGATAATTAATTTAAAGAGGTTAGAAAATAGATTAAAATGTTGAAAGTATCCTTAAACGTTAAACTTTTCTTTTGCTATTACTTTAGTGGGTACTAAACGTTTTCTTTAGGAAATTAAAGACGATGAGTGCCAGTAACATCCAACCCGTCGAGTGCTTGGCTAGACAAGAGCCCTCACTCATTTGACTCCCGCACAATCTCCGATCAAAGACTTCTAACAAACCCCCGAACAGTCCCCCTTCCCACTGGAAGCCCCATCAATTGTTCACCTTCATCAGGCGGACACGCACAGGCCGAACCAAACGAATCCCCCAGGGGGATACATCTTCGATACTATGCAAATGTCGAGTATTCTGTTTTAGTTATGTGCAAATTTATTGTTTATAAAAAGCAGCAGCGGTGGGGAGACACAAGGCAGCCGGAGAGCGATTGCTGCCATTGTTTTTGTTCTTCTTTTATATTTATTTTCATTTATTTTTTTTTTTGGTGGTGTTTGGGAAGTTTTTGCGAGCTGGGCGCTGTGTGTTTCTGCTCTATCATCAACTGGTTTTGGGTTACCCGCACGCACACAGCCAGCAGGAAAGCCAAGATGCAGCAGCGATCACATAATTCGTGTTGCTGCCTCATCATTCTTATGCTTTTCCAAGCCGCGTCCGAAGATCGGGCTCCGAGAAGAGAGGAAGACGTTTTTGCCAAGTTTATTTTTATCAACAGCGGCAGCCGCAGCATTTTGCTGCTGTTGCATGATGAATCCACGGAAAGAAATTGCAAATTCTCTATTTACATTTATAGTGCTGGCAGAAGGCATAGGTTCGGCAGTAAATCTTTCATATCAGCCACTTTAATTGCTGGGGGTCCAACTGAAAGCGTAACTGTTATAGCCAACCGGTATTAACGATCATATTTCATAAAGCGTGACCGAATAACATAGTCTTATTGGGTAGCATCGTAGCCTAAAATTGGGGTTCAGTCCTTATCTAAAAAATTTATCTAGGTAAATTTGACTCCAATGCAAAAATTGAAGAATAAGGAATAGAAATTTGCGATGAATATAACCTTAAAGTATATCATAAATTACCAGGAACTTAAATTCCATTTTAATATTTTGTATGATAATATAGGGTTTTTTTTAAGCCTTTTAAGGTATAGTATTTAGACAAATAAAGTTTAAGTGATCGATAACCATTTATTTAAAGCTTTTACCGAATATTATTTAAAGATATAACTGAATTGTATATACTTTAATGGATACATTTACCAGACCCTTTTTTTCTGAGTGCCCAGATTGAGTCCCTTCCCCGATCCGATCCGATCCGATCCTCCGGCAGCTGTGTGTATCTGGAGAGACAAGAGCCGCTGCCACAGAGCTTTTGCGGCCCGGCATCTCACGATCTTTAACATGTTTTGTCTCGATCAGTGAAATCATTCAATCAGAACGGTCAGCACCGCTTCGTCGGTCGTTGCCAGGAGACAGGACACACTCACACACACCGCATTCTGCACACACTGGTGGTTGTAAATTATATAAGGTTAAACCGAATCTGGTTTTGTGCTTTTAAGGCAGCCTCCCATCCTCATCCCCATTCCCATTCCAATCCCCCAGTCGCCGATTGAAAGTGTTTGGAGCGTTTCGTTTTTGTGCCTCGTAATGCTGGCATCAGCTCTTCGATTCTGGGCCTTATATCTATATCGTAATTATGCAAGATCAGCGGGGCTAAAGGAGCCCATCAGTCAAAGCAACGGCAGCCACAATAACCCACGGAAGCTGCCAATTTATGACACCCGAAGAAGAGCCTTACAAAAGAGGGCTTCCTCGTGCATGATTCTCCTTTTCTTTTCTTTCTTTTTTTTGAGAGAACTCCTTCTTTTCGGGTCCATAAAGCATGTTTTTAAAATTCCATTAAAATTTATTAGCATTTCACACAAAATGTGCATAAATAACCCCGGCGAATTTCGGGACTTTTGATAAATCAGCGGGAGAATCGGGAAAGGATTGCGGCTAGGGACCCGTTCCCAGGTCTCTGATGATAACAAATTGGCTATCGTCTTTGAGTCTTTGTGCACTCACCTGAGCCCGCTGAGATTTCATTTCGATTTTCGTCTTCCGAGTTGCTTGAATTTCGTAAATTTGTGTGTGCGTGTTGCCGTTAATTGGAATAGGGAGGTGGGGGCTGGTAACTCCAAGCCCGATAAACAATTTATGCGCAATGCTGTTTGTTTTCCCCGCTGCTTTTTGTTTATGGACGCATTATCTAAACAAATACGAAAATAACTCATTAAATGCAAAGGCCATAAAACCTGAACATTTTGGTTCGTGTTCGTAAACGAGAAATTAGAGTTAATGCAATCCCGATCTCAGGGCCCATCCCATCACCCCATCATACCACCATTCCATCCCATCCCGATCTCGAACTTCCCAGTTTCTGCTCTCTGGCTTTAGCTTTGCGTCCAAGCATGCATGTAAATAATTTGACAGCAGAGTAAATCCCAAGGCGGCCACTCGAGGCGAGAGGTGGGCAACAAGTGCAAAAGGCGAAAGCAACAAAAACTCAAGTGCACCAGCGGAGAGTCAGAGAAAGAGAGAGGAGAGAGAGAGAGCTGGAGAAACCGAGAGAGACAGAGAAGCTGACCGAGAGAATGCTCCAACGATCAAGTGCAGAGAGACGGAAAGATTACCTGCTGAGACTCTTCCCAGTATTACCAGGTGCTCGGGTTAAGAACCCAATCCACCTTAAAGTTCCTTTCTTTCTTTCTTTTTTCTACCCTATAACAGTGGGTATTCGAATTTCTGTTTATGGCTTGTTATTTTGTGATGATAAATATATTTTAGTTCTTGATAATAACATTAAAATCCAGAAAAAATTGTTTAGTCTCTAACAAAAGAATAATATTTATTGTAGAACTTACATACATCTATCGTGTCCAACTTTATAAAGTAAAAATGGTCTATAAAACCATAGAATACTTTTCATTTCACGGTAAACAAGGGATTTCCACATCCAAGAGCTTACAACATTGTTTCAAATACAAACAGTTCATGGTTAAGATATTACTGCACATACCAATCACTGCAAAAGGGTATTAAAAGGCTCGATCTGCCAGAAACCCTTTTCTTTTTTACTGCTTTTCTTTGGTGCTGCTTGTAATGCAAAGCGCATCAGGCTCTGCCGCCGCCACCGCCTCAGTCGCAGTCGCTGCCTCAGTCGACGGTGTTCTTAGCTTGGCTTTGTCTTGATTCCTGGCCGACGGGCGGCTATAAATGACAGTTGGCCGGGCCATTTCACTTTTAGTCTCGAGGTGTCGACGCAGGCGCAATGAACCACTGGCTAAGCAGTGAGCTCTCCACCCAAAAATCACTAGAAACTCCTCCTGTAAAACTAATGTTCCTTTCTAATTCTCCTAGCTATACTACTTGGGGTCTTGATCTCCGTGCCCAGTGGGCATGGAAATACTATCAAGGAGCGGAACCTGTTTGCCACCGAACTGTTTCAAACCCTGGCCACGGATCGTCAGGATGAGAACGTGATCATCTCGCCGGTTTCCATCCAACTGGCCCTTGGCCTGGCCTACTACGGAGCGGAGGGCAGGACCGCCACAGAATTGCAAAAGACCCTGCACGCCTCCGCCAAGGAGAGCAAGGATGGGCTGGCCGAGAGCTATCACAACCTGCTGCACTCGTACATCAAGTCCAAAACCGTGCTGGAAATTGCCAACAAGGTGTACACGCGGGAGAAGCTCAAGGTATCGGATCACTTTCGCGAGGTGGCCCAGAAGTACTTCGATTCGGAGGTGGAACCCCTGGACTTTAGCCGCGAAACGGAGGCCGTGGAGCGGATCAACCGGTGGGTCAAGCAGCAGACGCAGGACAAAATTGAACGGGTGGTGGACAGCCTGGAGCCGGACACCAATGTGGCCCTGGTCAACGCCATCTACTTCAAGGCCCGCTGGGCCCGACCCTTCAACGACGAGGACACCCGGGATCGCGAGTTCTGGCTGAGCGACAGCCAGGCCATCCAGGTGCCCACGATGTTTGCCGACAACTGGTACTACTACGCTGATTACCCGGAGCTGGACGCCAAGGCCATCGAGCTGTTCTTCGAGAACATCAACCTGACCATGTGGTTCATTCTGCCCAACGAGCGTTCCGGCCTCCAGGTTCTCGAGCAGCGACTCAAGGGCGTGGACTTCAGCCTGCTCGAGGAGCGCTGGCAGTGGCAGAGTGTCTCCGTCTACCTGCCCAAGTTCAAATTCGAGTTCGACACCGACCTACGACCCACGCTGAATAAGGTAAGGGAAAGGGGTCTTCATAATGATATTCCAGGGGGAGATAAGATCTAAGAAGGAAAGATCTAGTGGCTATAAGTTATGGTGGGTCTGTCGGGAATTCAATTTGGAAACCATTAAGAGGGAGACTGGTGTTCATTCTAGAAATTTTAAAGATCTCTAACATTATTATGCTCCGTTTTATTTGATTTAAATTTTAAAGGTTTTAAATTACTCTCTCTTCTAGATGGGAATCAGTGCCATGTTCTCGGATGCAGCCGACTTCAGCAACATTTTCCAGGACTCGCCCATTGGCACTCGGATCACCAAGGTGCAGCACAAGACCTTCATCGATGTGAACGAGATCGGATGCGAGGCGGCCGGTGTCAGTTGTAAGTTAAAAGAAAGAAAGGTACCTTTAAATTTCTAGAAACAACTGCCTCTTTTTACCCCCTCCCACAGATGCTGCTGGGGTGCCCATGTCCCTGCCTTTGGACCCGAAGACTTTCGTGGCCGATCATCCGTTTGTTTTCATCATTCGCGATAAGCACGCTGTCTATTTCACCGGTCATATTGTCAAGTTTTAATAAGCTCAAACATCACACAAACACTCAGATTAAGCACTTTAAAATGTAATCATTGCATCAATCAATAAATGCGGATAGCCTCCGCCAGAACTTAGAAATCCATAGTCTGGCACCTGTGTCCACGAACTCCGCACCTGCCCTCGTTCTTTACCAAAATCACTGAAAGAAATGCATGGTGGTTAAACCTATACACTCTCCTTTAAATTCTAGTCCTTACTGTGTTTATGGTGGAGTATACGGCCACAATTGACAGTCACCAAGGCGCAATACTCCATTTCCACATGACAGCCGTCGAGAAAGCCGCAGACCAACTTGCCCTTAAATTTATCTGGACATAAGAAACAATTGGATGCAGAATCATAAACCCCTGCTAAAACATTGGGTAGTTCAAGGACACCTAATGCTGTCACCAATAAAGTTATACAGATGATCCGCATTTTTCTATAGACCGATTCAAAAAGCTGTGGAAGCTTAAATGATCGTTTTCCTTTCTTCTATTTACAAGCGAATCGGATGCATTATTCAAGGTGAAAATCCAAATAAGGTATATTAGAAAAACAGAAAAAAAATATAGAAACCCATTTAATCAGATTAAGCTCTTTAAAATGTAATAACTACAAGAAACCAATAAAAGTTAGAAATCCATAAACTCGCATTTGTATCCCCGAACTGCTTCGCACCTCCCCTCGTTCTTCACCAGGATCACTGAAAGGGAGCCAAGTTAGTACACTTGATCTTATTAGTATATTATAAATATCCTCACTGTGTTTATGATGCAATTGACGGCCACAGTTGAAAACCAACAAGGCGCAATACTCTAATTCCAAGTGGCAGCCGTTGAGGAAGGCGCATACCAATTTGCCCTTGAATTCTTCAGGACATGCCGTACAAAGGGACGTTGCTGAAGAAGCCCATGCTAAAACTTTGGGTAAATCGAAAGCAGCTAATGCCACCACCAAGAACGTAAGCCAGTGGATATTCATTTCACTATGGACCGATTTGAAAAGCTATAGATGTGGGAATGATTGTCCAAATTGGACTCGTCTCTTCAATTGACAGGCGAATCGAACGAATTATTTATGGTATAAATCCAATTACTGGTGTATTTGGAAATCAGATATGCAAGTCACAAAAAACCCATTTAAGTACAGGGAGATATCTCATAATATAAACTGTACCTTGGTGGTCCGTCCACTGCTAAAGCCAAAAATAAACATTGAAGTAAGAAACATATAAAAGTGAATATCGTCGAAGACAATTGCAATATTTAACTCGAAAACGACAAACAGAACGTGCGACCCCAAAATTAAGCGGAAAAAGTCGGAGAAAATAACCGAATATAATTAACGACAACTGGATGCACTGTCGTACCTTGACTTCTTTGTCTTGAGCTTGTAAGGGGTGACAAGGGCCCCTCCTTTTAAATTGTTTTGGAGATATATTGCTTTATATGTTGAAAAACTCTTGAAATCTTATAATTCCATATCACACTTTTGATGGTATTATAAATAACTAGGTATAACTAAATAAATGTATTGTATTCCGATGTATTTGCATCTAAGTTCGATAAAGAAAATCATATACTTATAACCATCATAGTACAAATACTTTCTAGTTAGAGGCAGAAAAAGATCGCATGATGAGCGGCCGGATGCTAGGATCTGGGATTAGCTAAATGAACTGTCAGTTTTGCGGGAAACAAGTTTCCCACTGCCCTCAAAGGGGAGGGGGCAGCACTTGTGGCATTTGTTTTAAAAGCGCCTGCACCATGGCCAGGCATGCACCATGCACCTGCTGCAAGTATTCCCCCTTTCGGGTGAGGCTCTTTAAAATTCCGCTCACAAGGCGAAGAAACAAAGAAAACTTGTCAGGGAGCATGAGTTCTAACAAAGGGACGAGCGAACAGTCGCGAAGTTTTGGGAGGGAGCGCTGTTGCTGTTGCTGCTGCGGTCATTACAATTGCAGAAAGATATCTGCCTGGATGGGATGGTAGCCGAACCGTACCCACTATTTTTAGATTACCGGTATTCGAGCAGAGAGTTCGCCCCGCGAGAGAGAGCGCAACGAGAGCGCCAGCAGGGGAGTTCGGCGCATTTTGGAGTTCGTCTTTGGGGCCGATCGCCAATGGCTTTCAGTCTGCTGCGCGCCTCGCACGACTAAAGAACTCGCGACTGCGCGCATGCGCAAACGGAACGAATCGGAAGGGAACGAAACGGAATCGGAACGAAACGGATCAGCGAGCCCCCGCGTTTTTGCGTTTCTGCGCTTATCAAGTGCCGGGGATCGGTGAACGGGAGTCCAGAAATCGGGCAGCTGTCGCGTGCAGTGGCCAAAAAAAAAGAAGGAGTTTGCGCCAAGTAATGGCTACTTCAGTGTCTGTGTTTTCCTAGAGCGGCCTGGAAATGTGCATCAATTATTTTAAATGGCCAGCCAACAGCCACCATCCACTCCGCCAATCCCCCAAAACCCCTGCGGAATGTCCCCAACCACATGCATAAATACAATTAGGCCGCAAGATCGGGCCTGACCATAGCCAAAGTTAATTCGGTGCGCGAACCAGTTTCCTCCGCTGCTGCCGCAAAAATATATATCGACAGGCACTCCGCAAATTTTGTTCACGAGCGCGCCAAGAAATAATAAATACGCCTAAGCTCAAATTGTTGTCAGTCGGTTCGGCTTTTGTTGATTTATGTGCGCGATTAAAGGAAACAACCAGCAACGCAGTCAGCCGAGAAACCGCAGAATATAAGATAATAAATATAAATAATGCCAAAAGGCAACACCCCCGCCCCCCTTTCCCCCGCCAAGTGTCACCAGTGAAATACCTATGAATGCAAATCAAGCGATAAACAAAGGCAAAAGACAACAGCTGATAGAACGCCAGCGATAAGAACCTCGGATATATCCTCCGCATCTCAGACATGGATAACCCAAATCAAATGCCAGTGGAGCTAGAAAGGTGAGTGTCAGGCACGGATTAAATAAACCCTGAATTTTAAGGCATTTTAGGACGTTCATAAAGGTTCATAAATATTTTTAATTTTTGCGGTTGACATTCTGAAATATCTGAAATGAATCTTTTGTTCAAAAAAGGTGATAAGTAAACTTAATTTGCATTTATACTTTATTTTGCTTCGAAGCTGTCATAAACAAAATTATTAACAGAATAATAAACTCTGTCTCACTTTTAAAGTTTAGACATAGGCGTAGTTGGAAATGTGTCCAATAAAAGCGATCGAGTCCTTGTACTTGATGGCAAACACAAACGGATGATCCGCCTCGAATTTCTTGGATCGCGAGAAGAGGCCCTTTAGCACTGGTTTAGAATTAAAAGAAAAGAAATTTTTTTTTTGGGCTACAAGGCTTCTCGAGAGCATCTACTTACATCCCGTTTCCAGGGGCTGCTCGAGTCCCGCTTCCGTAACCTCCACACTGGCCTTGTGCTCCACTGCGTTTATGAAATGGCTAACAAACATGCGGTACATGTTGCCAAAGTCGCCGTCCCTCGAGAACATTGTGTGAACGCCCAACTAAATGGAAAATAAAAAATAATTTAAGTCAATCAATGATTTCCTAATAATCCAAAAAAGTTGTCTATGAAAGCAGACGGTTGTCTCTAAATCCCTCTTTCATAGCTCGAAGTAGCGCCAAATAAAATTGATTAGCGTTTAAAGTGACAGAAACCTTTAGCAATATCACAATGCAAAATTGAATTAGCAAGACGTAAATCTGTTGATTTTCGATTCAATCTAAAACCATCGCCTATTTCTGCTCACCTTTTTGAACGGTCCCTCCAAACCCACGGCAAAGGTGACGCTGAACTTGGGCAGCAGCACCTCCACCTTCTGCTGGCTCATGCCTCCGATCTCGGCCAGCAGATTTTTGCCGGATAGCGACTGCTGCAGCGACCTCAGTCCATCCTTGCGATTGGGCAGCAGCAGCAGCATGGAGAAGTCCGGGTTTTGGTAGGGCAGCTCCACCACCTTGGCGTCCAGGGAGCTAACCTCCGCGTAGTTGAAGTTCTGCAGCGTCCACATGGTGTCCACCTTCACGGACTGTCCGCTGCCGGTGCGGAAGGATCGCTTCTCGGTCTTGTCCAGCCGGAAGGACTTCTGCCAGGCGGCCGAGTACGAGACCCCGTTCACGATCACTCCCTCGGTGCGATCGTTCAGCAACTCGGAGCGCAGGATGTCCGTGATCTTGCCATTGGTCTTGGTGGACACCTCCCGGTTGATCGCGTCCGCCGTTCGCTTGTTGTACGGCGGATGGAAGTCCAGCTTGTCGATGTTCGAGTTGAACTGCCGCTGGGCCACGTCCCTGAAGGAACCCTTGAACTCCAGGTTCTCGTTGATGTAGATGTTGTTGGCCAGCCGGAAGTTGTTGTCGCGGGTCAGCGCCTGTTGGTAACTACCGCTGCGCTGGCTCACCGCATCCGCATCCCCGGGCCCAAGGCGCAGGCCCTGCTGAAGCTCCGAGGCCGTCTGACCCTTGGCACCCACAAAGGCCAGGGCCATGGAACTCTGGATGGTGGCCGGCGAGATGACCAGATTCTCGTTCAGATGATCGGCGCCCACGGCATTGTAGAGATCGGCGGCCAGCAAATTGCGATCGGCAGCGGCATCGTAGCCCAAGGTCTTGGACTGCGACACTGACGCTAGGAGAACTAAAAGAATCGAGGCGAAACATGGCATTAGTCGCAATTTGTTTGCAGGCTCCGCCCCGCGAGTTGAGGGCACACTGAGAAAAAACACAAACATTTTTTTTATTTTATTGCATTCTTTTTAAAATATAAGGTATTCAAATTGTGGAATTCTGATTTATGATAGAGATTAGTAATCAAAAAAGTATATGCTTTGCCATGTTTTCCATAAATGAGAATCTATTCCTGAACGGACTTTTTTTTAAGATAAGTAAAAGTTTTAAAAAAATGTACCTTGTCTCCGAATTTATAAAATTATGAAGAATAGTGTTTTGACTAAGCACTTTGTTATCAGATCAAATGAATCTTCTAAATTCTTTACCATTTAAATAAATGTTATGGCAAAAGGAATGTATCTTGCATTGCATAAACTTCAATCGACAACCATTTCAACACTTTTCTTGCCGTGCATAAACCAGATCGTTTTTAATTGGGGCTTACGTAATAGGCAGCTGATGATGACAGCCATGGTCGTCACATAAATTGTTGATGGGCGTCTCCTGCTCCGCTTGATTCGCACTTGAGACTTCTCCGAGCTCGTCGGAATGTGAACTGAAATCGCGGCGATCGCCGATCGGCCTTAGAGGCTGTTCCCCAAGTCTGATTTGAAAACGCGAACCGCATGTGTGTAACTCTCGGGCCCCGAAAAGAAATACCGATCGCGTGTGTTTACAAATCATTTGTCACCTTTGGCTTTGGCCACGGGTGATTCTGTTTATTTGCCTGAGATTTGAGCTGGGCTGATAAGGCGATAACCTCAGTTGGAGCCTAGCATTGGAATCGAATATTAGGTAAACTTAGGAGGTACTCAGATGTCGACGATGTGGCCGGCCAGCAGCAGGGTTTTGTCATTGCCGATGGCGTAGAAGAACGGGTGATTGATGACCAGGGGCACGGCTCGTCGGAATAGATCCCCGAAGGCTAGAAACGAAAAAGCAGCGGGTTACAGGGCCTCTTAGCCACCTAGTTCCATTCTCACTTACAAAACGAATCGCCGGCCTCGCCGCCTTCCTCCTGCAGCTCCAGGAGTCCGCTCTGCACCACTGCTCCCAAAGGGGGAGCCGAACTGGCCAGCATGGAGCTGAAGACCTCGCTCAGCTGGACCTGCGATGTGAACAGCTTCGCCAGTCCCATCTGAAAGAGAAGTTAGGTTGAGAGGCTTGAATTTCGCTTACATCATTATCCCTTTTAGTTGGTTTTATGGCCATTTACTTCTCTTGCAACTTAACTTCATTTTAACATCAAGACCATCTTTTAATAGAACAAGTTTTATATTATTAGTTGAAAAAATTTGCATTTAAAGAAAGTCATTTTGTGTCTCCTAATAAAATACGCAACTACTAAAAACGTCTTCTTGTAAGTATTGATAATTATTTAATAACAATAGAGGGGTCTCGGAAATTCTTAATCAAAAGTCTTTTATTATGAGAAGAGGTTTTCATTTCCAATTTTATTACCAATTCATTGCGGTACTCAATACATTGTTAATTATTGATTTTTTTTATGATAGGAAATGTGGTATTCAAATAATATGCAACGAATCCTAGATCCACCACTGCACAAATTCTTAACTGGTCATAATATTTGTGGAAGAAGATATATAATAAAAGCACTTACCTCTTCGAGTATTGGTTTCAGTGCAGAGTGGACCAGAACTCTAAACTTGGGCAGGGTGAGGGCCACCTTGCGCTCCTCGAGCTGTTCCCTTAGCTGCTGGAGATCGGACTGCGCCAGCTTCCTCTCCAGTTGTGCCAGGCCATCGGCCCGATTTGGAAACACAATGAGCATTCTCAGATCGGCGGTGGCGAACGGCACCTCGATAAGCTGGGCATCCAGAGCGGGCATCTCGGCATACCTGTAGCGGTGCTGGCCAAACATGCCATCCACCAGCCTGGGTCGAGTTCCTCCGGCGAAGAAGCTGATGCTCTGCGTCTCAGCGGGGTCAAAAGCCTGAGCCCAAGGAGCTCGGAATGTTACGCCAGAGACGTGCAAGAAGGGCGTATTGTGCTCGGCCAGGGACTCGAGCTGCGAGGCACTAACCAGCTCCCCCAGGCTGAAGTTGCTGCGGCTGAGGAAGGAGTAGTTGATGTCCTGCGCCGCACTCGACGCACTCTCCCAGGACAAACGGTGGCAGCCAACTGATGTTCGGGAAGCCAGTGCCACGAACTCATCGCGAAAGTTGAAGGTGAATCGCTGTTGGGCATAAAAGTCACTGAGCAATCTTAGGCGACAGCCAACAGCTGCCGACTGTTTGAGGCTCGCCAAAAGGCCCTGTATGTCCTGAGCCGCTTCCTTGGGATGGATGGCATGAGTCAGCTCCAGAGCCTGACGGAGTTCCCTTCCGGAGTCCAAGGAACTTCCCGCATACAGCAGACTGAGCGCCGATTGTACCAGCAGGGGGGAAACCACCACATTCCCATTCGGCTGGCTCAATCCCAACTTAGTGGTTAGACGGAGGCCAAAGCGATGGTTTGACTCGACTGCCGATCTGGTCGAGAGCTCTCCGTCGACTGGAAACGGCAGAGCTATCGACGACAGCCCCACAAACAGGGCGGAAAGTAGTCGCCAATGGATCATGTTTTCGGGAAATGCCAAGCTTCGACTAATGTTAATGATCCAGTGGCTTACACACAACTAAGTTGCGCAGCTCATTCATGAAAATTCAAATCATATTGAGACATTGAGGTCATTGATTGGAGAGCCCCAAAGCCGAAGCTCGGAACTGAAGGGTTTGGTGATACGGAACCGTCTGAGCGGCGGAGAGTTCCCAAAATTCTCAGAGAGATTCGTGGGGCGTGAGAGCGGGGGATTCTATCCAGTTTCTTATCGCGCTCAGAAAATGTTCAAGTTCGGATGCTATCTCACTCTCAATTCGTCATTGCAATACACACACGGCAAACAATTTGTTTGCCTTTATAAACATAAATAAATCAGGTATAAAAAAGGAGATATTGCAAATATTCTAAATAAAAAAATCGACAAATCCGACAGATGGTCAATTAGAAACTAAAATGTATGCATTTTTCCGATCGAATTTAGGTTTATTTATATGATATAACAGTATTAACAAACTTGTAGACATTTTTACTCTTACTATTTTGATCAATTTTAAATTGAGGAAACTACATAGATGCAGGTAAAAGAATATCTTGTTTACATGTACAAATTTTTACTTTTACTATTTTGATTAATTTGAACTTGTGGTAACTACAAAAAATCTGGTTACCATATATCTTGTTACAAAACTTTCTCACTTAAGAATAAGACCAAGTCCATGCCTCCATATGTTACGTTGTTCTTTGTAACTTGAATTACTGATCTGACCAATCCCAATCTGGCATAATGAACCCAATTATCGCCGGTTACCTCTATATTTCTTAAATAGTATTTTCCTTTTCTTAATGGACACGTATCTTTACCTGTTGGAAGGGTCGAGTCGGTTAAGAAAGGCACAAAATATTTTTCGTAAATTAGCGACATGTAGGCGCAGGTCTTATAGTGAACATTTATAAGAGATGTCTCCCATTCTCCGTTTCTGTGGCAATATATATTGTGTACAAACGTGAATTCGTCATCCAAGTCAACGTGTGCAGTGATTGTCCCATTCAGGAGTCGCTCTCTTCCTAACAGCCGCAAATTAAACTCAAGGAATGTTTCCTTTTCCCCAGGTATGCCTGCAACCGATTCCAATCGACATTCCAACGCTGCCAGTACCAATCCCTAAAAGATAAATCCTCCTAGAACAAATGAATAACAAAGGTTTTCAAATATACATACCAAAGTGGCGATCGACAGGATTAGAAGGACTTCGAACAATTTAAGTATCATTTTTCCGAAGTTTTTTAAAAATAATACTTCTTTGGCTCCCTTGGTTTTTATACATTTTTGGTACCGACAACTTGCGTGTGGAGACATCATTGATTGTTATCTTTTTATTCATTAAACAGTGTGTCAGGTGTCTAAAGTTAGATAAAATCGAATGATCAGTAATTAGCTGATTACGTCTTTATTAGATTTGACTGATAAATTGTTTATATATAATACGATCACAATAAAATAAAATAAAATTTTTCCTCTATTAATTTCCCATTAATTTTTCGATCGTTCCTATGGCTACATATGTCGGCCGATTTTTCGAAATTTAATTTGAAGTTAAGAAAGAAAAGTGGTGAAAAGTGGTTAGCAAAAGTCAACAAGAAAAAATTGCCAAGATGACAAACTAAATATCATTTCTTATTAAATGTCATAGAACATTTTTAGCTGAGTGTACTCAACCTTGAGTGAGCGCTATTAATTATGCCCAGCTTTCAGCGGGCATTTCAATTACTCATCTCTCAGTCTTACAATTCTCCGCCTCGTTCCTCCCCCGCGATGGTTTTCCCTGCTCCGCATCCGCTGGGCTCCCAAGTCAGAGATCTAGTGCGCATGAGGAAGTTTCGCTCATTTTGAAAAATGATTGAGAAATCCGCCTTTGATTTACGGCCTTTGGACGCGGGGACGACAGCAGGAGAAGGTTGGCGGTGGCTCCCAAACGGGTTTGCCAACTTACAGAAGCGGGCAAACCCATTCGCTGGAAATCCAGAATAGCCAGCAGCCTCGGCAATCAAAATAAAAACGGGGAAAGGCACAAGCTGTTCTGTTGTTCCGGATCGGATTCGGATTCGGATTCTGAATCGGTGATGGAGGTCGGTGCATTGGGCTTATCAGCGCATCGAGGTTATCGAAGTTCAGTTTTCCATAAATACAGCGTTTTACTTTATTGTTACGTTTTTCTTTCACAAATGCAGCGGCACAGGGCTCTACCTAATTCCTGTTGTAGCCATCGGGTTGTGGCTCATTTCTGGCGGTCATCGGCGTGGGATTCTCCACGTGACCCGCGAAGAGCACTGCGTTGGGGGTGCGGATGGCGAAGACGAACGGCCGGTTGGCGATGAACTCCTTGGGCTTCGGCGGCAGGGACAGTGGCACGAACTTGGCATCTGAAAGGGGGGGTTACAAAGGATATCAGTTAGGTAACTCTTGTCATCAAAGTGCTCAAAAGGAACTTACAGGAAGCCGCCGAGGCCTCGGTTCCCGCCTCGCCCACATCGATGTAGGCCTTCTGCAGGATCTTGCTCACGCGCACCGGCGCACTCAGCAGCTTGGTCACCTGCGAGTTGGGCGTGAACATCTGCTGGATGCCCAGCTGCTTGAGGGGCTCGGTCATGTCCTGCTCGAACTCGATCTGGAACTTGGGCAGGCGCACATGGACCGACTGGCGGCGCAGGCGGTGGGCGATTTGGTTCAGATTGAACTCGGGCAGCGACAGTTGCTGCTCCAGGTTGGCCAGTCCGTTCGGCTGGTTGGGCAGCACGATCAGCATGCTGGTCTCGCTGTCCTTGTAGGCCAGTTCCAAAGCGGTGGCGTCCAGCTCGGGCAGCTCGGCCAGGCCGTAGATATCGTCGTTGTACATCATGGCCACCGGGGTGGTTCGGCCGTCGGTGTGCCGGAATTCGTAGGGCTGCGTGTCCATGATGGCGAACTCGTGCTCCCAGCGACCCTTGAAGTAGACGGCGTTCACCAGGAGCGCCTGTGTCTGGGAATCAATGTCGGAGGAGCCGACCAATTCGCGGATCTTGCCCCGCGTGCTGTCGGAAACCCAGACGTTGATCCTGTCCGCCGTATCCTTGCCGTTCTGCATGTCAACGGGCTCCGAGGCGGCGTTGAAGTAGAACTTGGCGTAATTATCGAAGCCGGGATTGACGCCACTCAGCTGTTGGTTGTAGTACGCCCTGGTGGCCACGGTCAGCTCAGCAGCCTGGAGATGCTCCTTCAGCTGGATGACCCTCTTGAAATCCTGGGCCACGTCCAGTTGATTGTTGCTAAACCCGGCGAACTGCTGCAGCTCACGGGCTGTCTTGCCATCGGAAACGCCGTATAGCAGGCCCAGCAGGGCGTGGACGGAGAAGGGCGAGAAGACCACGTTGCGCTGCCCCTGGGTTCTCACGATCTTCTGGAAGAGCTTGGCGCTGAAGCGTTCCTTGTAGCTATTCGGCGGCGCAGGACGAGTGGGTGGTGGCGGGGGTGTAGTGGGCTCACGCTTGTTCATATCCACCTCCTCCACCAAGTTTAGGGGTTCTTGGTTTTGATTGTTTGGCGGGTTGTTTGCGGGAAGGTTGTTCTGCTGCCGCCGGTTGCTTGAGGCTAGTGAACGCGGTCCCAACTGCGGTGATTGGGCAAAGTGACGCATTTGTTGCTCTCGCTGCCAGGAATTGTAATCCTGTGCAAGGGTCTGAGCAGCTAAGAGATAGCCCGTTAACAGGAGTAAAAGCGCTGGAAAAACGGAAAGGAAAATAATAATCTTCCCAGCGGGGGTGTGCGGTTTCTCCAGAACTTACTGGCTTTGATCGCCATATTTCTTATCTGCTATTCCTGGCTGAAAACCTCTTTAAATGAATTTATTCTTCCGATCCGTAGATCAGCTCGTTTTAAGCTGCGCTTCAAAACTGATTGTTGCGAAACCGATCACCGATCAGCAGTTGAGCAGAGTCGAGCTATAAGGCTGTGAAAAGAGAGAACCGGTCCAGAACTTGAGGCAGCTATGCTATTGAGAACCCAACGATAGTCGGAATCGCCTCTCTTTTCTCAGATGGGAAAAGCCCGGACGATTCCAATTACACAAAGAAAAACACACAATATGCCATATATGCAGTATATATACTTTTATAGGGGGTGCTGCGCTTTTCCCTAGCTTATAGAATCTAGCATCTTAACCCTCGGATTCGCGTGGGTTTGCCGTTCTGGCGACTCTGACTCACCGTTTTGAGTTCGGGTGAGGGAAACCTGTTTAGTTTTCCGTTTATTTATAGATGCACTATCTCGGACTCCGCATCGACTCATAACTCCTGCATTTCCTGCTGACATTTTCATGCTGCCGCCCATTAGATAACTTTTCCATTTTAAATACCCGACTGCGGGAACTAATTAAGTATTCCCCGTCCCCGTCCCCGTCCCCGTCGGCTGAGAATCCCCAGATAAGACCCCACAGCTTCGGTTTCTCCGCATGCCTAATTATGTAAACCCGCCGCACACGAAATGCATTTCATATCAGCACTTTTCCCCCGGCCCCAACAATTCTTCCCCAATCTGGTTTACGGTTTACGGTTCACGGTGACCCAATTGCAGGCGGCCGAATGTGTAAACATAATTTACTCCAATTAGAGTGCGATGCCACGCCCCCACCTCCCCCTCTGGAAATTGGGCCACAGGCGGAGTGCATCGCTGATATGAAAACGAGTACCAGGTAAGAATGCAATCGATAAGTGGAGTGGAACCCCCGGGTGAGGAGTGTTTGGGGAGCCGTCTAGTTAATTGCACTGCACCAGGTGGGTTCGCTCATTCCGTTCGCTTCCATTCAACATTCAACATTCGACTCTCGCGCGTGTTTGCTCTGGCTGATATGACGTCTAGTGTTTTGCCCGATCAAACAAAGGCTGGCCTCAGACTTATCGAAGGGGTTACGGAGGTGTCTCTACTTTACACTCTCTACTCTCCACTCACCACTCCGATTTGATCTAGCCGTATGAATGGCGGTAGTTTCACTTTGGGGAACTTCCCCAAATCAGCTTTAGGAACCACTTTTAATTATCAACGCCAGAGCTTCTATTAGCTTAGCAATAATAAAAAGCGTATGAGGAAATAAAGCAGCTTGAGCGTTCGTTATATTAAGTAATTATACGAAATGCAACTTGGATTTAAGCATGTGATTGGTTTAACGTGTTATATTTTTTATAGATTTGATTGGTAAGCTCTGTAAGATAAAGAACAGAACAGTTTACAGAATTTACATTTTAACTAAAATTTATTCAATTAGGCCTGAGGGAAAAGGGAAACCTTTTATTCTATACCCATTTGAATATACGATTTATTGGATGTTTTAATGCTCGTCCTATTTTCCTTTGGTTGATATATCTGATTTAAATAAATATCCAAGTCCATGAGGTAAAACCTATGCAATATGTTTTAGTAAGAAATATTATATTTGATTTTAAATTTTGAAAAACTAAATCTGAGGCAGATAAAGGCAATGATTATACCCGTTACTCGTAGAGTAAAAGGGTATATTAGATTCGTGCAAAAGTATGTAACAGGTAGAAGGAAGCGTTTCCGACCCTATAAACTATATATATTCTTGATCAGGATCACTAGCCGAGTCGATCTAGCCATGTCCGTCTGTCCGTCTGTCCGTCTGTCCGTCTGTCCGTCTGTCCGTCTGTCCGTCTGTCCGTCTGTCTGTCCGTCTGTCTGTCTGTATGAACGCTGAGATCTCGGAAACTATAAAAGCTAGAAGATTGACATTTTGCATGCAGATTCTAGGAGTTCCTACGCAGCGCAAGTTTGTTTCAAAAGGGGTGCCACGCCCCCTCTAACGCCCACAATCGCTTATATACGATTTTAGAAATTTCAATATTTCGGAAAACTAAAAATGCAGTTTTATTGTGTTTATGAATACCTATCGAAATGTAGAAGAAATTTTTTAAATCGGACCATTCGTTAAAAAGTTACGGCGGATCAAAGTCCCTTTAGCTGAGTAACGGGTATCTGATAGTCGGGGCACCCGACTATAGCGTTCTCTCTTGTTTTTCGATTTGATTACATGGCTACATCTGCAGATGATGAAACATTTTTTAGTAAGTAATTTTGTAAATTATATTTTGCTCTTTGTCACTTTATAAATATTACTTTGTAAATATATTATTCCTGCTCTAAAGTACGTATTCAAACTTTCGATGTGATCCTCAGGAAAGCGAGCCTATCGTTCGTATTTTCGAAACTATTCTACCCAATTTGCTTCAATTACTCGGCCAATTACCCAGACACCCCCGCACCACAGTCTGCAGCTAGCGACAGAAACCGCATGGAAATATTGCAAGTTGTCACCGGAGTGTTGCCTCAATTAGCGGCAACATGTTGCTGGTGCGGCGACCACAAGAGCAGCTCAGCTGACTTTGGTTTCAATCCATTAATTTGCGTGTTGACGGAGAGTCAGTTGGCCATTAACTTGGGGAGGGGGTGGTGTGGGGTGAGGGGTGTAATGGGATGAAGTGCAGCGGAGGTGGCAAATGAGGAGCGATTGCTGTCCGTTGGCGGCACTTACAGCAGAATCGCATTAAATTACACGTTAGCCGCACGATTTGCCCGATTTGCATATAATTATGGCGAATAAATCATAAAGCCGCGGCTTTGGCCATCACAATATTTGCACATGTAATTTGCATCTGGAGTTTGCCGCGTGTGTGTGTTGGTTTTTTCTGTTTCTGTTGCATTATGTTGCTAACGAGATGAGCAGTAAGATTCCCGCATCCGGAGCAGCATCAATTAAAGCGACATAAAGGAAACTTATAATTTTCATGCGGCCTAATCATAGTCGGCATTCTTCTTGCCATTGCCTTTCCCTTCCTTTTCCATGCATTTAGCAGCGTTTATAGAAATTGCCAGCCCACCAACTCCCCCTTTCATTCTTTATGACCCAGTGCTCACTGAAAGAATTTTTGATATTTCTGAAAAAATGTCATTGTTCTTAATTTACTCATTTGCATTTTCTTTTTAATAAATAAATTAATATTCTATTTCATTTGAAGAAAAGTCGAAAAATATAGATTTTTAGTAGTGTAATCCAATTTAATTTTATTTTATGTATTTAGTAAGTAATACAAAAAATCTTAAAAATAGTCCCTTAGCAGAAGAAAAATCTGTTAAACGACGAAAACAATTATTATAATTTTTTATATCATTTGTAAGTATTAAAGTTGCCAAGTATCAAGTTCTTCCATAAAAATATAAATATTAAATCCAGAATTGCCGCTTTTTTTCTCAGTACTCCTAAAGAATGGACCGCATCCGTGGCTGAAGTTTCGGGGGCGGGGTAATCGCTGTTTAAATTTGTACTTCGTGATGCAATCATTCTGAATGTCAGAGAGACCAGAGAGACCAGTGCCGGTTCTCCGGCCCCTCAACTCGCCATTCGTATGTTAGGCGCCATAATGGGTTAACACACACAGAGAAAGACACGAAGAGTGGCCAACACACACACAAATCCACCCACACTTTGGCAGGGAGTTGAGGTCAGCAGCCAGCAGTTGTTTTTGGCCATTGTTCGAGCTCCTTTTTTGGGTTGGGCCTGCACTCTGCGTGTTCTCTATTGATCTAAATTTGCTGCTTGAAAATTTGTGGCTCCTTTTCGACGGATTTTTTTCGGCCGCTTATCGCTGGCATTCCGCTGGCACTGAAACTGGCATTTGCATTCGGCCAATTCCAATCCTTCGATTCGGTCTATTCCCGGCCAATTGCTGTAATTTCCTTATATACTTTGGCCGGGCTAATGAGCCGAAATCTTTGGCTTCGCAATCTTGGCTGGCGGGCCTCGGTCCGCCGTTAAAATTGTAATCAGTTAACGCTTAATTGGGGTCGCACCACGCCCCTTCTTGGGCATGCAATGGGAATACAATGGGGATTGGGGAATCAGAAACACAGATCAGCCGGAAGAACCGCTAAGCTAACTGCCAACTGCTAACCACTATGGCATTTTGTTTTATTCGATGTTTTTACTACTTGACTTGCCAATACATCAAAAGAAGCGGGGAAAATCACAGAAAGGGGTGGGGGGAACAGCGAGCGGAACCCTTTCATTAGAGGAAAAAGAAAAACTAAAGCGAGCATCGACAACGAGAAAATAATGATGAATTGCGGTATTATCGCACGGTAATACGCGGTGAAGGAGGCCCAGAACCACATAGGAAACGGGAAACTGGAGCACTTGCGCACGAACAGGGCCAGGGCAAGAAAGTCAGAAAGTCAGGGAAGTCGGGGAATTGGGGAATCGGACCGAACCTGGCCCAGACCCAAGACAAATATGTAATTGGCCGGGCCGCCAGACACGAAGGTGCGCTGGTATCACGTACTCCTCGGCCTCGCAGAGGCAAGCTTAAAATGCATCAACACGATGATTTATTTGCATTGCAAAATCCAAGAACATCACACTGCTAGAAAAGTCGAGCAGAATTTTAAAAAATAACGATTTATGTTATCCCCTGGTTTTACGAGCTTTATTTTGTGGAATAGATTTGAAATTACCTGTTTTTTAAGTCACAATCTCACGACCTATTCAATATAGTATGTAACATTGAAATAAACCGCCAAGGCCTCAACAATGTTCTGATCCGAAACTGATAATGCTGAACTGAAAATCACGATGACTTTTCTCGTATACCAATGGATAAATATATGATTACTAATCAAGCAAATCGGTGTAGTAATAAAAACTCCAGCTCCCATATAGTTGTTGGAAGATGCAGTTAGTTTTAGTTAATTAGTTTATACAAGAGTGCAGCCATAAATATACGATGATAGAACCTAAAATTCGTTTTCCCCAGTGCTGGTGGAAAGAGGAAAATCCAACACGTAGCTATGGCCAATTTCCCGAACAACTTAATTGAATCGGGCTGAGGGGTGGTGCCGTGCAACGCTTC